ACACTCTGTTTTAATGGACTGTACCTGTTAGAATTGGTAGAAATATTGTTTTTGAGACATTTTCATATCAGAATCCAAAGAGTTACTTAGGTGGTAATATTTATAGCAACATGGGTTTAAATTTATTCTAAGAAAATTTTCATAGAGTTGTGCTTTTAAATGAAAAGACTATAGCTATGCAACAAAACACATTAGTTGTGGCAGATGATATGATCTTGAAAAAAGCAAAGAAACCAACAACATGGTATCACAGCTTGTTTGTGTGTTTGTGAATCTTCTCTGTTAGGGATAACATTGTTTTACCCTAACTGTTTTGGGTAAAGATAATAAAATGATGAATCATGGTTTGTCAGATAAAGTGTATGTGATTTTAAGCTAAAGGAATGTAATTAAGGGTGCAGCTGTAAAAGTACTGTATAAGCAGCAAGGCACTCTCTGGCTCTTACTGGCTGGCTTATTGAAGACTGCGTTCTTGCTGGATCGGGGAGGAGAAGAAGTGTTGGATTAATTTGAAGATATTTCTCAACAGAGAGAAGATAAGTTTTGGACAGATTTATTATATGTGTACTGACACTGGCTATTCAACACAGACTTTGCAATTAGAGTATCCTCGACAAGACTTGACTGAATTTGGTATTTGACTAATGGACTGTTTATAATGACTATGCTATAATTCTTAAATGGAATAAATTATAATTTTGGATAGCACAAGCGTATCTGTATTTTTACTGCGTGTTAACTAGAAAACTTATCTCATACATTTACCTGTCTTCCTATCTGACTTCGCTGTACATTCTGTTTAGTTTGTTTTCCTTAACACCCGTTGGGAATCCAGGCTTAACATTCTCAGCTGTTATTTTTATGTTATTTTTATTGTTTTAACTCTGGGTGGTTTTAAATTGGTTTCAAAACAATAGATATTCCTTTTGTTTTCCTTAGGCGGAAGTGAGCTCAATGTCTGTTCCCAAAAAGATTTTGGTGTTTAGTTATTCCTCATTAATTTTTAATAGCAAATATTCCTGAAGTCGCTAAGTGCTTTGTATGTAGTCTTTTTTGCTCAGTACGGTGAGTTCCAGTATTTCTCCTTTCTTTGCCATGAAAAAACTATTTTCAATATTTAACTTGAGCAAAACAAATTTTTTTTCATAGTTGCACATTTTTATCTATCTAGAAAGTTTTTCTCATTTATGTATCCACGGTACATCAGTGAAAGTAGAAGGGTTTCTTCTTTGTGTGCAATGCCCTTCTCAACTACAGTTTCATAGAAGCTATATTTATCCAGTGAGGCAAACAAAGGTGATTGTGTCAATGGGAGGGTATGTGCGTGGGAAAGAATACGTTATCGCCTTGTTCTTATGTATCTCACACTTGCAGATCTAGCTTTCTGATTACATTATAGAATAATGACTTTCATAAGATGTCAGGTTTGAAGATCATAGAAGATGACTGCAGGTTGGTTTTAATAACTGAGGCTATTTCTGGCCTTAATAATGGTGGCGTTATTGTCATCTGGTATTTATCCTGACCACATAGTCTACTGTGAATGGTAGAGATGGAGGTAGAAGGAGGGACTTTTTTTAGTCTGTATGCATATTTGTGTTGGGGGGAAGTAATTTTGATTCTCATCCTATTCTATAAGTGTTTAATTTAGTTTAATTTCAGTGAGATATCTCTGAAAGCCAATTTTGTCTTTTGGGGAGTGGTGAGATAATGATAGTTTTGTTTCTTTCTCTCCTGCTTTTTCTCTCGCTAGATGAATGTGGAGCTTGCACATTTGAAAATATTTCTTTAATACAATCAGTTTTCCTTCTGTGAACTGATGGTTTCAAATGTTCAGCTTTGTAGTTTGCCCTTAGAATTTATAAATTATGGAATCCAAACTCAGAAAGAAGAAGAAATCTCAGAAGTGTAATTTTTTAAGTGGAGTAATGGAAATTTGCACCACAAAATGATAATATGTAAAACTATACTGACAGAAAACACTAATTTGTAAAATATGGTTAACAAACCACAATATCCATGTTTCCATGTCCATGTTTCCATAAGATACTAGACTAAGACAGTTAAGTCTTAGCACGTCACATAACATACTAAGACATAATGAACATGTGTTCATTTACATGTACAAGCAAGGTTTTGTCAAAATAGTATGTAAGCCATGACTTAATAGCCTATTCAGTCTTTGCTAAAGATACAATAGCATTTGTTCATTTGGATAGTGAAAAAATATTGCTTGATATTCTCTCTGAATAGATGTGGATAAGATTTTTTAAAAAATCCAACAGATTACATTATGGTCTTTCTATTATAGACAAAAGCTGAAAAACAGGCTTCTAAAAGTTGTCGATATTTTACAAGACTTCCAAAATATTTGAACAGGTATGCAATGAGACAACATAGCTCAAAGTTACTCAGAACATAACTGCATTTGAGTATCATAATGAAAATCAAATAAAGGTCAGCCTTCCCAAGACAATTATTGTCAAATGGATAACACTAAACCATCACATTTTTAATTTAAATTATGGGACAGTGTCCAAACATATAAACCAAAACAATTTCTTTTGAACCTGGGGCTGGGATGATTTAGTGGATAATACAGTTTTTAAAATGAGTGTTTTAGTGTGTCCCCATTTTAAAAAGTTGTTGACATAACAAAGAAATGGAAGTTGTTGACATATTAAAGAAATGGAAGCTGAAAAAATGCACCATTTGGGGTAAATTGTCCAGTTTATTCTGTTCTGTCTATTCTACCTATTTTTCCAATCTACAATTTACAAAAGGTGTATCCAGCCTGTGGCCATAGGCTGCATGCATCCCTGGATAGCTAGTAATGCAACTCCACAAGATTTTATAAATTTATAAAGATTTGTAAAAATAAATAAAGGCAGTTTGTTATTTATATACATTAATTGTATTATATATTTTATATGTGGTCCTGGGCAACTTCTTTTCAGTCAATGTGGCCCAGATAATCCAAAAGATTGGACATGCATGGTCTGCAACCTATCTTGTGCATCATTATTGCTTGCTTTAAAGACTATTTTCTTTATTTTTTTCCCCACAGCAGGAAAGTACTTTTTTTAAAAAAAAGTATTTTCTTTATTTTTTTCCCCACAGCAGGAAAGTATTTTTTTTTTAAAAAAAGTATATTTCTACATTTTGGAACATAGAAATAGAGCTAGGATTGAGTGTTGCATGTCAAATATTAAAATCAATTTAATTTAAACCAGAAGTTAATTAAAAAGAAAGTTCCAGCCCTTGGACTATGGGCTGAAAGCTTATAAAATAAATGCTTTTGGCTCAAAATCAACTTGAACAGGATTAAGTATCAGGTAAAAGCTCACATTTCTAGGCATTGGTCCAAATATTTACTACTTTTAAACATGAGGGTTGAAGTGAAATCAACTCTACAAATGCCACTTTGCCAGCCTTTTTTCTGTGAGTTTTGTTTCAGATACCTCTACTACTTAAAATTGCCAGACAAGCAACCAAATCTTACTCAGAAGGGGCCAAGCTTCACTAATATATCCACTAATATATCTACCCACCCTGGCATCCACAAACGTTTTCCAGTGATCTACTATGCCAATCTGTCTCAACATAACTTCTCCACAGGTTCTTACCTGTCCACAGTTCCTGATTAGAATACATGGAAGCTAATTTGCTGCCATATCCTTATCTGCACTATATCTGTCTTCAAAGAGGTACAAAGGAAATATCCTTTTAAAAATCATTGGAATGAAAGTATTCAGTCCAAACTCAGCAGAGGTGAGTAAAAGATCTATAATTCCTGGTATTTTATATTATTATCCTTGAAAAAGTGAAGCAGCTGCAGATGTTTTTATGTTTCTCTTTATAGTCTGAAGTGTTTTTTTTTTCAAAATCAGGTGAAGAAAGTTGAAGCTGCTTAAATTAAACATTTTCCCTCTTAAAGCACACATTCAAATTGAATTATGCCTTCTTTGAATTATACTTACATTTGAATGAATTCAGTAATAATCCTATCCTATGCTAATCTGCAACATAGCTAAATTAAAATATCTCTGATTTACTATTTTCCAGTGAAGTATATTGGAATGCATTCTACTATGCTGAGTATATTGCCTTGACCGATTTGTAATTTAGAACATCGCTATGTTTTTTACGAACCTGACTAGCAAAGTGTCTTATCACTTAGTTTAGACCCTGAAATTCTTAGCACTTGTTACACTTACAAACAACTCAGCACATGCAACTTTTTGCTGCCAACCACACAACTTTTGAATGATATACTTCCCAAAGTAGACAGGGCCAAGACAAAGAAGTGAGCAGGTCAAGGACCATAACTAAATTTGATTTGTTTATATTTGAGATGAAATTAAGTACCGTATTTTTTTCCATCTATAAGATGATACTTTTTCTTAAAAATATTTACCTAAAAATGGAAGGGCATCTTATATACAGGAAACTGAGAGGAGAACCATGGTTGCAAAACTGCCGATACCTAATCTATGCAAACTAGCCTCATGAGCAAAACTTCCAATTGCAGAAACAAGATAACAGGTTTCCTACAGTCATGAGCCTTATGTAACTGCCGTCAGCTGATACTGAGGAAAGTGTGTAGCCAGTGTCAGGATGTGACAGGGAGCGGTAATGTCAGAATGTTCTGAGCCCATAAAAATGTCAGAAAATAAAAAAATAAATACCAGTACCGTGAATGTCTTACTCTGCAAAATAAATGTCTTCTATTTAATGTTTAAAATATTGATTTCAGAATTTTGGGAAAGTGGGTGTGTGTGCTCTACATGGGGGCATCTTATAAATGGAAAAAGATGGTTAATATAATTGTTATGATTACTCCCCATACACTTAATCATCTCACTTTGTTTCATTTTAAAAATTGTACATTACTGGAAAGTTTTGAAAGTTCCCTGGAATAACATTCAAAAAGGTTTTAAAAAAGTCCCCAAGTTATGAACCTTGGACATAAAAGATTTCAGTACTAAATTACACACTACCTGTCGAGGGGTCCTTTCGGACTTACTTCTGCACCACTCCCAGTCAGAGAGTTCTGGTTTCCGGCCTTCCTCATGAGACAACCTTCTTTCTGGTCCTTCAAAAAAAGGTCCTTTTTCAATATTCCGGACCTCTTCTTTTTTATATGACATTTTGTCAGACATTAGGCAGTCTATGAATTTATCCTTGCTTAAGTCTTTCCTGGTATCTATGCTGTCAATGTTGTTGCAACCAGCGACATTTTTACATGTGGAACTGTCCACTATGGAAATGGTGCTGAACTCCATTTTGCTACTTTCTTTTTGAGTTCCTTTTGTGTTCTCACAATCGCAATTGAGCAAGCTGTGGTAGGATATTGAATTGCTATCATCACTGTGGCGATTGTCCTGGGATATCTTATAGATTCCATAACCTTGTTGAAAGGACAAATTGAACTCAAAGTCTCTTCTTTTGGCTAAAGAAAAAAAAGTAAATAATTGCATTAAAACAGCTAGAAATCAGCAGGACAGTTAATAGTAATTTTTTAATCAAAATATATATTTTAAACAATGTTTCAAAACATTAAATGACAAAATAGAAAGTAGTTGAAGCCAAAGTGTGTTTTCACAACAGTCTTTACTGGGGCAGGGAGTAGGTCAGTATATTATATAGCTCTACAGAGAATCATTAAAACTGCCCAGAATATCATTGGGCTCCAGCTACTGGCCCTGGACAACATCTTTGCATCTCCCTGTTTGAGGAAGTTGCACAACATTCTCAGAGACTCTTCCTATCCTGCTTACAATCTTTGTGAACTCTTGCCTTCTGGCAGAAGATATAGAACAATTAAAACTTGGACCACACATATTCTGAATAGTTTTTATCCCAGAGCTATAATTGCACTTAATGAACTTAAGGACCACCATCAGTGAGCTGTTGTGTGGGTGCTTGTGTGTTTTAGGAGGTGGGAAATTTGATGGCTGGGGGTGTGTTTGGGGATTGTCATGTGTGTGCATGTTGGGTCTGGTCTCTGGATGTTATGTGAATTTCTATGTGTATACTGTGTATATACGTACAATGACATACAATTTACTGTGTATATATGTACAATGATGCACAATGACAATAAAACATTATTATTATTATTATTATTATTATTATTATTATTATTATTATTAT